TGTGCGTGCGTGTGAGCGCACGCGTCTGTTAGCGAGTGTGTGTGTGTGTTCGCGCCTGCTCGTGCGAGTAAGCATCTATGAATGCGTGCTTGCCTGTTTGTGCGTCCCATTGCGCGTGCAACGACTGCAATCGTCGCCGTCCAAGGTCGCGTAACGCCGTCAGTCTCGAGAACAGCCGATGCCGTTCAAAAACGGGTTTCTTGGCCACGCGCCGCAAGTAAAGTACACTTAGTTGATTTCGCATCTCCCAGAGAGAGAAGGACTTCTTTGGCCGCGCCTCTGTACGAGTTTATTTCGCAGCTCCAGTTAAACTCGGCGTCCCCCGGGAAGAAGATCAAACGGTGAGTGTGCTTCGTCACGCTTGCTTTTTTTCAACTCGAGCGACAAATTTTTTTTTAATGTTTATTTGTTGGGAGATTCTACGGCCAGCCTTTGAAGGTCAAGGTATGGCGTACGCAGAACAACAAGGAAAAGTCAGCGAAGCAAATAAATAGACATAGCCATTCAGCAAAACGAGTAAGAAGTTTTGTCTTTGGAGTTCGTTCTGAAGAAAGAATAGTTGATCAATTATTGTACTTGAAAATGTAGCAAGAGAAAATACCCTTCACGCCGCGGGGCGCCTCATTCCACACGCAAACGATACGCAGGAAACAAAAAAAGAATATTTCAAAACTTTGTTTACAACGAAACTCGGGAATCAGTTTCTCGTGCTTCTATCCGGTGTCACGAAGATAAGTATCAAACTCTAAACAAGTTTTGTTGTGTATTGTGCAGTGTAAGAATTTTAATTTACTTGACAGCTCAGGCAGTCCCGACCCATGCATACAACGGTGAAACATACGATCATTTGCCACATGATTAATAAATGATCCTAAAAGATTTTTTTTTTTTTTTTTTGAACTCCCTCCAACTGGTTTACGCACGACTGTGAATGAGGATCCCATAAGGCGTCAGCCTATTCTGGTAAAGGACGGGTTAAAGACTTGTACCCCGCTATAGCTTCATTTCAGGAGTGCCAGTTAGGAACCGAATTCGTCTACATCGTTCCACTGCTCATGAAATCACAGCCACGTTTCACAGCCACGGCACCCGCTATAGTCACTGACAAAATCAGAACGACAGGGAAGAGGTTCAGTTGTCGCGCCTCCAGCGCGAGCTTCCCACCTTCGATAGCGCTTCGGCGTCTCGTAAGCCTGGAGCGTGCACGCTAAGCCGAAGCACCACGGAAGGCAACAGATGCGTGCTGTAGGGCCGGACGTCCGAACGAAACGCCCTGCCGTTCTCATGCTGTCGTTAACTACAGAAGTCCGTTGTGACAGATTAAGTTGCACCGAAGTTATTTCGCTCTCCCCATTTTCGGTTGGTTTGTATGCCACGAGTCTTCCCACCCTCATGCCATGTTCACGCTGTATAGGAGCGCTACTCTGTGGCAAGCAATAGACATAGAAATTGCGATGATATTGTTCGGTGGCGTTCCTTTTTAGAGAGCAGCTCTTAGGCGCCCGCTTCCGGGTTGAGTGGTGTTAGCGTCGGCGTAACTGCGCGCGTTGCATTATGGGACATTTCCCCGCTAAAGTGAGCGGAGAAATATTCTCGCTAAATTTAGCGAAAAATTTGACGTCACGTGACGGGTTAAGTTTCCCCGCTAAGTTCAACGGGGAAATTGACGTCACGTGACCTCAACCCCGATTTAGTTTCCGCTAAATTTAGCGGTTAAAATGGCGTGACAACTTCGTGTCACTTTACCCATGAACAAATTCAGCGGCAGGAAGAGAGAAGGAGGAGGGGCATACCCTGTCTTCCTCCTCGAGAGCTGTGCTTTAGTTTCGCATTACAGAGAAATGTAAACGTCTTTAATTTTTTTTTTTTTTGGCTGTTGTCTGTGACGTTGCGACCAGGATGTTACCTCGCATCGATGTCACGAGCGATGACCCCGGGTGGTTATCGACAGTAGCGAGCCAAAAGTTCAGTACTGCGGGGAAAAAGCACGTGGAGGCATGGTTGGGGACATGACATTACTCATAATTCTGTCGACGAGAGCGTAATTAATCCTACGAAAGACGTCCTTGCGACCGCTTGGCCAATCGTAAAGAGCCGACCAGAGCGACACACTGGGTCGCGCACGCCATCAAGAGGTCGATGACTCACTCAAATGGTGTTTTCGGGGCTACGCGAACTTTGCTCCCCTACGTCGGTTTTGACTTACAGCGTGTTTATGGGCTTCTACACTCGGTATCATTCAACTATGTGAAGCCGGGGTTACACTGCTTGTACATCATACAAAAGGCAGGCTGCATATGGATTCGAACGCGAGTCATCCGTGCTTTGAATGCCGCATGGCAATGAGTTCAAGGGGAAAATTTGGGCACGGGGCATTCAAATCAGGGATATTGCGGTGACCCGTGTTTGGAGACTGTCTTTTGCATGATGGTAGGAGCAGTGTGACCCCGGCTTAAGGGTATTCATGATTGCGTTAAGGGAAACTCGACTGGTTGGATGGATCTATGTTTACAGCTCCGCATATAGATTTCATAGCTTCTCTTCAAAAGTGGTTCGTTGTCCATTGGGGAGGCTGTATCTAGACTGGCAGAAATAAAATAATTTAATCTGTCTTTTGATAATCAGAATCGATGAGATATTTCATTGGTGAAAAGGCTTCTGGCTACACGAGAGAGTGAAAAAATGAGTACATATATGATGTGATTTAAGGTCATTCAAGAGTGACGGGATCTGTAAGCATTTTGAAAGGGCATTATCTAGAGTTCAGTTCTCTCATTTTTTTTTTGTTGTAATCACTCATCACGGAAAGTACAGTTTCTGCTTCCTCATTTCAAGATCGGAAACCAGACTAGTATGAGGATGCCTGTGGAATGGATAGAATGTACTCGGGTGGAAAACGCAGAATTGCGCTTCAGGCTCGCATTTATGTCCTTGATTTTGCAAGTACGCTCCTTGAAGCGCGTACAGGAGACGAGTTTCTATCATCCACAAGGTGGCTACCTCACCGGCCGTTGAAACATTTAGGTGGATCGGGGGGGGGGGGGGGGGGGGGTGTCTAAAAATCCTCTCCCCCCCCCCCCCCCCCCTTTCTCTGGAGTTCCTCCTGTCGCAAATTTTAGGGCGGGGGAAAAAAAAAAGGGGGGGGGGGGGTTCTCGAACATCTAATACGCTGACCCCCCCCCCCCCCCCCCCCCCCCCCCTTTTCTGTTTAGAAACGCCGGTAACCAACCGTTGGTTAGCCGTGCGCATCCGTCAATCCATACATCGGGATAGAAACTCAGAGCCTCTACAGACTTAAAGAAATCTCTTCGTAGAGATGGCTGGCTGGCTATTCGTTGTTGTGTGTCCGCTTTGTTTGCCGTGTTTGTGCAGGCACTAACAATTGATGTGCGTCGTTGTTTGTCCAACGTGGGGGACAATCTGGTTTTGGTTCCTTGGTTTTGTCTTTGTGTACAGTGTTTTTTATTGCTTATGAGATTTTATGTTTGATCTTTCATGATCAAGTAGCTTTCGTCCTTTGAGACTTTCATTTATGTTTTGCATGTTGGATGGTCTGAAGGGTCGGGGGGGGGGGGGGGGGGGGGGGGGGGGGGGGAAGGCTGTCGGCTTGTCAGGCATGCCGATGCCTTTTGTGGCGGCCCCCCCAGAAACTGCATTCCTCGACGGTTGTCTGAATAAACTTTGATTGATTGATTGAAATTTTCGTTTGCTTACGACCGTGTGCCTTAAAACCTCTTACGACGAGATAACTCACTGACTGATGTACGTACCATCTATGGTACATGCCCCTTTATAACAGTGTTTTTAAGCCAAATAAAGCGAATATATATAAAAATCTGAAGTGTTTTATGACTACCCGATTGATGGCAACAGTGTGTTATCTCGTGCCACATGGTACACTCTCAGAAATAGGGGGTGTAGTACTTACACCCCTTGGCCCCATATATAACACCCCCAAAACTACAATTCAATGTTTAGTCCACTGACGTCGAAACGACGATACCAACTTTCACGAGCGGCTTGATAGTCGAGTAACAACATACTAAAATAGCCGAGGTACACATTTAAGACAGGCAAACGCTCAAGGCTTTCTTGGCCCTGCTGCAGAACCTCCGTGTTTTTTCTTCTTTTTTTCTTTTTGTAGATTTTCGATACGTACATTCTGTTTAGTAAGTAATATCACATAGCTATCAAGCCGCTCGTAAAGTTGGTGTCGGCAGTTCAACCTGAATGGACTGAACGTCAAATTGTAGATTTTGGGGTGTTACATATGAGACAAGGGGTGTAAGTACTACGCCCCCCATTTCTGAAAGTGTAGTAAGCAGTCGCAAATCCGTGAACCATTTTTTACATAATTCAGAAGGCAAAGGTGATTTCCTTTTTTTTTTTTTGAGGTTCCCTGAATCTTATTTTATATGCACTATGAAGCTAGCTTCAGTTGAGTTCGATCAAACTTGCCGGAGGGTAAGAAGTCTTTTAGATTTTGTTTTTCGAAAAAGTATAAGCATTGCGTATTTCCGACAACAAACAAAACTGCCTTAAAAAGTTAAGTAAATGTTGGACGTTGTTTACAGGCTGCCGCCTTCGCTCATACTGTGATTATTTTGCAGAAAAACATCGGTAGCAATGTGTAACATTTGACATTTGTTTGAAGATGAACTTCAGCATTTGTTCATCAGCTTTTTGATTCAATTTTAAGCCTTGTAAATAATTATTACGACTAAAGGTTGTGACGTAACGTGAATGGCATGATAAATGATGGCTAGTAAAGCGTAATAACTTTCATGTCATTGAACTGCCGTAGTTCCCTCATCATGACTGTAACGTTCGGCATCGGGAGGGTCAACCATGATTCGGTAATCAGAAAGAGCGAAAGGAGAACATGCATGTGCCTGGTGATTTGTTGAAGGTAATATTCATCTTTCGGATTATTTTTTTTATACAAATGCAAATAAGGGTTAATTATATATGCTCAGGAAGTCATGATTATTATTAGTAGTGAAAATTTTAATGTCGTTTCTGTTCCAGAAATCTATCCACAACGATGCTGCACACAAGCTGCTTCTTCCTGGCAGTTGTCGCCTACGGTAAAGTTTTACAATTGCTTTTCTTTAATATTCAGACGTCATTGGAAAAAAAAAATTACGAAGTGCAATAGATAAACGAAAAACGGTTAGGGTTGTCAAGAAATAACAGGAACTAGTTACCTGAATTTATCGGTCGCGAAAATCCTTAAATCGTGTGCTGTTCACAACTACCTTTCTCTTGTCCGTGTTTTTATTTTTGTTTTGTTCATTTACATAGTGCAATACGCTCTAAGAATGCCCGTGCTTCTACGTTCCGTCAGAGCACTTAAAGTACCAATCATTATGACCTACGGGGGAAGCTCCTATGACGAGACCGAAAATATGCTTTAAAGGACACTGACAGGGTATACATAAAGCTCCCCAATCCTGGGAAAAGGGGCTCCCATTCATGGCTATTGGAAATGCTCTGGGAAGAACAATGGGTCTGAAATCTAGCTCAGTGCTGCGCTGTGCCGCCATAATGTTCCCAAGGGGTGCACGTTGCACGTGCCTCTTGCACCGAAGTTGATTAAAGTAGAAGTTTGGGCTAGTTGGTATTTCATGATTAAAGATTAAAACAGCGCAAGGACACGGACAAGAACAAGAAGGTAGACAAACAGCGCCTTGTTTGTCTACCTTCTTGTTCTTGTCCGTGTCCTTGCGCTGTTTTAATCTTTACTCTTGCACCGACGCACCTTGCGCTACTTTTACAACATAAAACGGGCTTTAGGTATATATAATGGCCAAGGATTTTATTTGTAAATGACATATGAGAGCCTGACTACCGAGAACACAATTCGCAGCTCAAAATTCGTTTTCTTTCCTCCCGAAAATCGCCGATCGAGAACTGGCCGGTATGAGTCGCGCTCACTCTCTTCTCTGTGGTCACGTGCCATTTTCTATGGTTTAGACACAACCACCAAAGATAATCAAAGTCGTGGGTCATCGAAGGCACACATTCACTACTAAAAATACACAAAAATATTATACCCATTTTTCGTGACTTCTAGAAAGCTGCAAATACGTTAATTAAAAAAAAAAAAAAAAAAAAGGTAGCATAGCCATTTGATTTTTGGTAAATTTCTCCTTATATTTCTTCTTCCTCCGCAGTCCAGTTTAGGTTCCGGTTTTGAGCAGTTGCGTATGTTGGCTTATTAAAGATGTACGTGACGCTGTAGCAAAATATTCATTGAATAGTCTTCGGACGGCTATAATAAATCGCCTGGCAAAAAATATTAAAAATAAAATGGGGGCCGGGAAAGGGGAGGGGGGGGGGGGTTACGTAAAAATAAAATTTGTGTGCCATGCTGGAATGTGAACTCAGGAATACTTTGTTTCTTTTACTGTGTAACCTTATAGAAACAGTCGGAAAAAAAAATCTGCGTAGAAAGTTGCCTCATTTCAAACAAATCCTTCAAAAACGCAAGTCAGGAAGTGTTGAAATCAAATATCACTAAAGTATAGCATGGCGCGGGATTCTTGAGAAGATTTGATATTTGACGTATTTCAGTGTGCTTCTAGGGCATCTTCCCGTATTTGTGTAATTTTTTTTTACATTTAATTAATTAATTAATTAATTATTTCCCCAATTCACCAGGAAGCGAATCGGGAAAAGGACTTGATATTAGAAGTTCAGTCTTTAGTATCTCTGCGCTCCCAGATTTCCCAATTTTATAACCAGAACAGCTTGTTATTTCACGAAGTTTTCTCGCGTTCTTTAATTAAGTTAACCACGCTTCTTTATGCTATCGTGCTGTCACACTCCTCTGGCTTAGTAAGTAGACCAATGGGCGCCCAAACGAAAACTGCACGTTTCTCAAGTACCAAGGCTGCAGACATACACTCTGAGCCTTGTTTCCCTTCATGTTCAGTGTCGGCCTCCAGTGTCAGCGATGCCAACCACTTCCTGGACACCGTGCTCGGGGAGAAAGTGCCGGCCTTGATCGAAGACTACCAAAGCCTGTACCCATTCGCGACCACGCTCCCGTCCTATTTCGAGGTACGTCGAACTTGCCAACCTAAAACGGCAAAAACCTTTCAGGGGGTATTTGGTGTTCCTTCCCGTAGCTCTACCCAACGCTTTATTATTTGCGTATAAAATGCATGCATGGGTCGCTATTATCATTTCTGGACGACGGAAGACCGTTTTCTGCAGTTTGAAATAAACTTTCTGATGACACGGCGACCAGGATTTGAAGTACACAGATAGCTGAACTAGCGTTATTCTGAAGTGTGACTTATTTATAGGCTCTAGGGTCTTGCACAGATAGGGAACTATTCTTAACGTACATTGTGTAAAAAAAATCATCAACAACAACAACAATGTGAAAGCTACAGTATGCGCTTTGCGCAACTTAGGTATTGGGCCAGGGGAACAAAATATATATGGTATAATCGTCACGATAAGTTAAATAATTAACTAAAATATGTTAAGAATCTTGAATTAGTGAAAATAAACGTAGAGTTTTAATTAGAGACTCGCCGAACGTCATAAGAAACCACCTGGGCTAAGGTGCGACAGGCGCACGACTGACTTTTCGAAAACGCGAATGACGACACTACCACGTGCTTTTCATTCCCGATTTCGGACCGTCCGCCTGTGAGCCTGTGAGCGCGCACGAGTGGCAACTTCACCCCGCGCATCCCACGCGCCCCAAATCTTTCCAGAACGTACCTATTTAGTGGTTTTCTTTTTTTCGGTGACGCTGAGCAAGTTTCCAATTTCAACTGTACGTTTATTAACCAAGGAAAAAGTGAACCATCAGATTTCAGTTAATTATCCGACTGATGGTGGCAATGAGCCCCGCTACGTTATGTTCCCCTGGCCATGTAACTCACTTGCACATACCGAATCAGTGTAACTTTCACGGATTTCTTTTTAAACAAATTAGAATAAATAAAATCAAGAGATAATATACCCGTTTCAAAAGTACGCGCCATAGCCTTTCCGCAATTGCTTGATCGACCTATCTCCGAGCATATATTGTACACGCGGGCTGTGTCGGCGTTCGGCGAGTACTCTGATCTAATCACGTGCTTTGTGCCCAATGGATGGATGATATTGGCTATGCCCTTTGTAACGGGCGGTAGCTTCCGCCACCTAGAATGGCGATCATCAGTGTTGCCTGATGGACTTTAGAAGAGGGTCTATTCTTTGTCTTCATTCTACATGGACAACAGATACCCAGCACCAACATCCTCACCAACCGGGCCCTTCAAGTGGACGTGTCCCACGGCGAATACAGAGGCTTCCACGACTCGGTGAAGCGTCTCGGCGATTGTCAGGCTCCGGTGCTCAGGGACGGAAAGACGAGCATCAAGTGCACCCTAGATTTCGCCGGAATGACCGCCAACTACACAACCATGGTGAGGAGTGGAACGCTTTATTGCGGAGTATAGTTCTATCGTCCAAAGTAATGAAAAATGGCGCACAATAGGACAATAAGACGAGTCTTTTTGTGCGCTGTTTTTAATAGTTTTCGCGATCACCGACTCGTCCAGCTTACAACGTTGATAAACTCAACGCCCGACTATGCAATTGCGAGTGTTTTGTGTTCTTGTTGTGCCTCTAGTGCCAGGAAATTCAGGCAAAATATTATCAAGTTCCTAAATTTTCTTTAATGTTGACGTGTTGTCTTTTAAAAAAGGTTTAATTTACTACAGGGAAAGAATTGTCTGCCACAATGCAGACTTTTTTTTTAAATTTTTTTAGGTCGAAACCAGGGCTGGTCAGAGATACCCCAAAACGTATTCAGGAATGCAAATGCTGCGACACATGCATTTTTTGGGTAAATAACAGAGACATATATTTTTTTTATTATACTGATATATTTCCGCGAAAACGGCTAAACAGTATTCCGGTATACAGAAACAAATACATACCGAAATAAATGTTCTCCGAATGGTGGAGGGTGGAAAGGGTGCAGTTCGTGGCAAGTGCAATCGACAGGGCTTGTGTTCCTCTCTGAGTGTCAGTTCATGCACTTCCCCTTAACTCAGACTCTTCATCTATTCACAACTACCACCCAGAATGCCGCTAAAAATATTATCGCCAAAAGGAGGCGTTCAGTTTACCGTAGAAAGCCAATATTTTTTTCTGCAGCAAATGTACCGAGATACCTCAACTTGGCAGAGTATTGCAACACTATTGATACATGGTACATGTATTTCACTGCTGAGATACAAGGACATTTATTTTTTCACGTGTATCTCGATATAGAGATACGGATGTTAAAAACTATTGCTAAGATACTCTCGCGATATATTTGTATCGCGATACTGCCCAGCACTGGTCAAGACATGTAATTTCGGCCGGCCTTGTCACTCGCCGAGCTTCATTCGTAGATTGCAGCGATTGGTTCAGCCAAGTACTTTACGGGTAAAGTAGACGCCCCAGATTGATTAGAGTGTAAACTGAACACATTCTAAAAACTTTATGAAGCAGTACTATTTAGAACTAGCACTAGTTTCATCCACATCCTTCGCCTTGTCCTTATATGTAGGGTGCTGGGGCTGTAGTGTGGACACTTGGCGAAAAAGGTGGCGAGGAATTCGATCCCTGTGATTGGCCGGTGTCAAGGTCAAGTGCGACGCCGGCCAATCACGGCCGCCGAATTCCTCGCCGACTTCTTCGCCAAATGTCCAGATTAGAGTTCCGAGTTTTACTTAAGGCCAAAATTTCAGACTCCCGAAAGATTAAGCTCCAACGCAAGGGGCGAGGGGGGGGGGGGGGGGGGGGGTAGTTCTGGAGCAGATTTGTTTACCAGAAATCCTAAAATATTGACTTCGTACTTTATGCTTCTGTTAAACTAGCCATTTTGCCAGAGACATCTTTAGTAGCTTTGAATAGTTTACGTGACTATACTTTGGATAAATACCTGATGGAGCAAGAAAAAGTAAAAGGGCGTCACTGCGAGAACGTGTTCGTTTTTTTTTTTTTTTTTTTTTAACAAGAGGACATGCCATGCTGTTCGACTAACTTGAAAATTAGTTATGCTCAACCTCATAAAAAAAAAATACTCTCTAAGGGAAAGTTTTTGTTATTCTGGTGATTTTTATAGGAGAAAAATAATTTAAGGCTCGCATTTGAGCCTTATTTTCTGGCCGCCTATTCGTCATTTTAACTTACGACATGCAGTAGCGAAGGTTAGAAGCTCAAACTAATAAGCTTTGACACTAACTCCCGCTACAGAAAAAGTTTATACATCCGAGCAAGAGACCCGAGCTCGTATAGCCTAGTAAGATCGTCGTACGGGTGATTAACATAAGATACTGGTGGTAAGATAACTGAAAACGAAACAACACTTGGAGGAAATTAAGAAATCGACGACACGCGTTTGAGACCACTGCTAGAGGTCATCCCAACAATCGCCTTTTGTGCTCTGTCATCTTTGTCTGCTGGGCTGCGAAACATTCTGAGCGCGCGCTGTCGCTCTGTTGTGTGTCGTATCAGGCACCGCGCATGCGACCTCAGCTTAGTGACTCAGCATTTTTCGTCCGGGGTGATAAGCGCTGGAAATGTGTATACGAACTCGCGCTTTTCAGCATCATACAAAAAAACGCTTTCTAAAAAAAAAAAATACAAAAAATTCTAAACTGCACCGAGAGCAATCCGTCTTTCGTCCACACATTCCGCTTGGTCCTCATACGTTCGGTCCTGTCCTGACATTCATTAAAGTTCACAGTTTTTTTTCAATATCACATTAAGTGCGACCGCAACACAGTGCTGGACAATCCGATGGAGCCAACCAAACAGTGCCAAAAGTGCATCGTCATGGCGCTCGTTGTCTTTGTGGGGTCTGCTACCACCGACTAAACAAATCACGCGCAGAAAGAAAAGCTCAGAGTCACGTCGTGCGTGATCGGTTTAGTTTGTTATGCGGAGCGCAAGTTCGTCTGCTTCTATTGCAGGGGTCGTGGTGACGTCAGAACGCCGAGCTATGATTGACTCTGATTGAAGGATAGTGTGTAGACGTCAAGGCAACTAGCATTAAGGTCTACCCACTATCCTTCCATACAGAGCCAATCAGAGCTTGGCGTTCTGACGTCACCCTGCAGAAGAAGCAGACGAACTTGCGCTCGCGAACGCACGAAGGCGACGAGCTTCATGACGATGCACTTTTCATGCTGCTGATTGGTTCTGTCAGAGCGTAGTGTGGGCTGCGGTCGGAATTGACGTGAAGCAGAGTGGGAGCTAGCTTTCTATAATCGGTGCTTCTGACTCTTCCCAGACGAAGGGAGACAACCTCCTCGCCACGCAGAAGACCATCTGGGTCCGCGCCGTCGTGGTCGACACCACGGGACAGTTCGAGGCCGTCGCCGAGCCCGGACGCAACGGTAGCCTCCAGACCTTCCAGATCGACAACCTCAAGCTCCAGGTCACCAACGACGACAACCTCAAGTTGAACCAGCGACGTCAGCGGGAATTCACGCGGTACTTCGAGGAGATCGTGAGGATCCGCCTCCTGGACTTCTTCTACGACAACTACCGTCGTGTGCTGGCCAGGGCGGTGTCTTCTGTGCCGTTTCCCCACGCGTCGCACGATTCGGTCAAGGAATCTATTAAGGGCTAATAAGCGAACGATAGAAAGATGTACAAGTTCGAATAGAGCAGGAAGGTGATCGGAGTGGGTTACAAGAATTTGAGAAAGAACTTAGTCTGGTAGGTGTCAGTTGAAGCTTCCCTAAGGACAACCTGTCGGAGCGTAGTGTGGGCTGCGGTCAGAATTTAAAAAAGAAAGAAGCTTCACAAGCTAAGTCTCTCTAGGAAACGTCGGCTGCCACTTCGAGGCTTCCGGGAGTTATTAAAAAAATATATGAGAGCACGAAGGAACTAATGAATATATAAACTTAAGAAATTAAACCGAGAGACTTGGGACCATGCGGAGAAACGATATCTTGTTGACTGTGTTCCGTGTTTGTGTGTTGTACTCAACAAGACCTCAGAAAAAACGTTTCTCACGCAGCGCTATCCACTGCACCAATAGAACAAAGAAGAGTACAATATAATACCTCTACTTAGGGTCCTCCTTCCCAAACTGCCTCACCTCACAATTTTACTATACACGTGTGCAAGCAGCCACGCTTCAAAAGTTAGTCTGCTCAGTGTGTGTGAAAAACGCATCGTCAGAGTCTGGTTGTCGTCATGACATGCGCCATGACGACGGCAGCGCCACCACAGCGGCGTTACGTCAGAGCCGCTCGTTGCTCTATGAGTCTATGAGGTCTATAAAAAAATAACTGGCGGAGGTCTGGTATTTATCCGTATCGAGGTACGAGACCCGCTTCAGACTGCAGGTTCCGATGTCACGGAGTATGCGAGTCAGAAGGTACACGGTTAGCACCAAGGAACGATGCCATCACTCCGGTTTTAACGCCGGAACAAGGAATCATGAGGACCGAAGACGTCTGGTATGGTTACTAAAACCTTTGGAAACGCAGGACGTAATCTCTTTTGAGAATTCTATAAGAGCTTCGCAACCAATGATATTGCAAGATTAGCGAATAAGAACACAAGAAGAACAAATCGCAATGATAAAAAAAAGCACCTTAAAGGGGCAATCAATGGATTTCGAGATCGTCTTTTTCTTTTTTTTTTTTTTATGACGCAAACTCAATATACAGATTCTAAGCATCACAGAAAACCCAACATTACAACCACGCGTGTCTTTTTTCTACTTTAAAAAATGCGACAAAACATCGCTTCAAGTTCTTTTTCTGAATGCCACTGATAAAGGGCATGTCGGTGTGTCTGATCGTGCTTTTATTATAGACAAAAAAAAAAAAAAACGTGCGTGGTTAAAATATGGGGTTTTATATTATGCACAGGACGAATAAATTAAGGTTGCGCCAGAAAAAAGGGCCTCAAAAATTTATATAGAATATTGAATGCACGCTACGCCTTTCCAATGAAATTCTCTTGTCATTTGTCTTTACATAAGTCACAAATGTTGTTCGCTGTTTTTTTTTTCTTTATAGCCGTTACATAAGTGTGCATAGAACGCTGCATAATCAATAAACCTTATGCCCGTTTCTAACAGGTGTCTTAATTTTTTGGGGATGACACTTGACACTACGAAATTGTTCACACAGATTCCTAAGTCTTCAGGTAAGAAGCCTTTTGAAGACCTCTATACTTCCCAGGGCTAAGTTCCGTCAGTGGGCATGCAACAAACGGCGAAAGGCGTGCACGGAGTAACGAATTTTTCCAAGAATATCTAAAAACAACACACACATAAAAAAACAACAAAAAAAACGCCTCACGTTTCGAGTTTTGAAATAGTTCCGAACGCACACCAAGCTCATATTTCGGGTTTTGCCCCTTAACTCCTCTGCCAAGAGAGTGATAAGGTACAGGAACAGAACCGGATTGGGCATAGAGCCACCAAGCTAGCAGAGTTATCTTCAAATGCCCCCGGAAAAAAAGAGAGAAAAAAAAAAATCTCGCTCTTGTCTCGTATTTTCTGTCTTCCTGTGCTTCAGTCGAACAGAAGAAGTCGAAGCTAGTCCATCCCTGCGGTAAGCATTCTGAATCTTCTCTATTTTACGTTAACGCTCTCATCCGAATACCGGCGATTACACTTTTTTTTTTTTTTAAGGTTACGCACGTTTCCGAAAAATAAACACCTCAGTTTTATTAGGGCTTCAAATTATAACATCGAGAACAAAGATGTATTGTTTTATTGTAGGTGCTTGATGGTCGTCAATGTAAATATTGGTTAATGGTCAAGGTCGTCTTTTGCGACTATTATTTTTTAGAGCGCAGCTCTTAGGGGCCCGTTTCCAGCCTGAGCGGCGTCGCCGTTGGCGTCGGCGTCGCCGTCGGCGTCGCCGTCGCCGTCGGCGTCGGCGTCGGCGTCGGCGTAACCGCGCCCCTCCCTCTCCTCCTCCTCCCTCTCCTTCTCCCCCTCCTCCTCCCCTCCTCCTCCCCTCCTCCTCTCCCCTTCCTCCTCCCCCTCCTCCTCCTCCCCCTCCTTCTCCTCCTCCTCCCCTCATTGTCCGGCTTGAGCGGCAAGGAGGAAAGCAGTACGAAGGTGGAGGAGGGGGGGAGGAGAGACGAGGAGGCGGAGGCGAGGGGAGGGGAGGAGCTTGAAGGACGAGGAGGTGGTAAAGGAGAGGGAGGGGGAGCAGGAGGGGAGGAGGACTAGCAGGCATGATCACGAGGGAGGAGGAGGAATATACCCTCCACTCCTCCTCCTCAAGAGCTGCGCTCCAATTCGGCGTTACAGGAAGTTGTAAACGGCTTTCACTTTTTTTCCCCGAGGATACGAAATCGTCCTTTTGGAAATCTAAGCACCGCTCGTTCATGTTCGTGCCCTTTAGTGGCCAGCCAATGAGGTCGAAGGCCATGAATAGTTGCAAGGCATACTTTAAATCTGTTGAAGTGTTTGGTCAATGTTGCTTTGGTGAAACGGGGTATTTGTTCCAACGTCCACACTGAAAAACATAAAAAAAGTTAAACGAATGTCACCTTTCTGCGCTACACACTAAGTTTTTGACCGAGGCTAAGAGTATGGCTTGTGAGTATTTGCAAAACTTTAAAGTTTTTTTTTTTTTTTTTTTTGGCAAATAACAGAATAATGACTGTTTTGAGTTCGTTCCGTTGTAGCCCTCAACTGTTCGCCGTGCGAAACAAAATTGCGTTATAACAGTTTGTGAAAAAATCATATCGAATTATTTTGTGAATATCGATATCCTTCCAATTGCTTCTAATAGCGGCCACATCAAGTTGTGCTGGAAAAAAAGAACAGTTACTGCTTTTCGAGCAATGTATATGAGCCATATCACAGAGCTCTGTTTGTTTTACAAATGCCCGAGGATAAAGATTAGCTGTATGATTTTTAGAATATTGTCGACACAGGATATATTCTCATAGCTGAAAAAAAAACCTTCATCGCCAATTCGGGACTCGATTCCGCTAGTATGCACGATATGTGATACTCTTCTGAAAGATTGAGTTGTGACAAGCAGAGCTCTGTTAAACAAAATGTTTGTGAGGGGCTTAAAAAAAAAGTGCTGTAGGCAAACGAGGTCGGCTTAAAAGGACGTGTTTTCGCAACATCGCAGAAAAAGCAGAGGAAACTGGTTTAAAACAAATTTGAAGTAAAAAAAATACATATGAAAAGTTTCGCAAGTTCTGAAACTCGGTCAGCTTATCGCACATCTTACGGACTTGCAGAAAGTGACACGGCAGCGACACGCATCTTGGGGGGATGCCTGCAATGGTCGCGGAGTGAAATGTTAATTTACAGCACCAAAAATTAAAAAAAAATCTTGTTTTAATTAATAACAGCTTAAGAAACGAAGTGTGTGGCTTAATATGTTCACGTTTATCTCACAATCACAAGCACAATTATGAAACCGACATTTTCAAGATGGTATATATATACGTTCGCACTTGTAAACCAAAATGAGAACAAATTAAGTTTTGGTGGAAGATATTTGGTAAATAACGCGCACTTTTTTCTCTATTCTTTCTAAGCAGATAGGATGTTGGCTTGCCCTATAATGATTGATATTGCCGAACTAAATTTAATATTTATTTCTTCTAATTTTTTGGCATTTTCGGCGATGTTAGGTAGCATTAAACCTCTTTATAAGTACTGCATTTTCCGGGTCCGCACCCGGTGAATAGTCCGCAGGGGCGTGTTTGGGTGTAAAAAATAAAATGTTTTGCTTAGACTGTCCACACCCGGTGCATAGTCAACACAGCGTGCATAGTCCGCACTTAGTGCCTAGTTCGAACTTAACAATTATCATGCACAGCACACCTTGACGAATGCCCGCTGTATTAGCTCACAGAGAAGCTTGCATCATACCTAAATCAACATTAACATACTCCGTTATACATAAAATCCTTCACTTCTTGTCACAGTGAACGATCTAGAAAAACAATCCTTGAATAGTCCGCATTTAAGCTAACATTTATGCTTTTGCATATGTATAGTCCGCGGACAGTAGCCAGGAAAGTACGCTAAAGTGTTCATTGAATGATAACCGAAAATAGAACGTACAGGTATGACTAAACTCCCTTATTTATGGGAATATAATTCAGATGATAAGGTGTAAGTCGATATTCTCGAGACAAGTGTTTACACTGTTTTTTTTTTTTCAGTAGGTTCTTAAGTCCATACATGTTGCGGTACGGAGTATTAGCTATCGCTCTGGTGGCGTGTGGTGAGTATTTTTTATATTTTTCAAGTCTCGTTTTTTATACACCGTGGTTCATAAAACGCGCTTGTTACTTAATTATGCACACGGAAATAGTTATGATGACCACGATTATTTATTTTGAGGCCGTATATTGAGTATTATAGTTAACGATGGGTGGTGCTAATTCAAGCCCATACAAATAAAATGAGAATAGTAATGTACATAAAGAAGAGCCTTACTTTCCCTCAAAGCCCTCTGGGTCTTATGGTATAAAAATATAAATAAATAAAATACAGGTTGCTTTTCTTTTCACAATATTTGCCTGCTTCGAACTGAATTTTAAGGCTCGCAATCAGTTCCTTGCAAGTATAACATTTCCACCTCTTTTACGATGAGCACAAATCGCAGGCCATGTAGTGTTTTACCTGTTGGCGGCGAGATGTTTTGGTGGCGCCCTCCTAAGTTTACCTCTCCTGACGTCATTACCTTGCGAACAAAAAGTTCGATGGTGTTTGTAATTGGCATGGTGGGAGCTTGAAATCAGTGCACTCTGAAAGTAAGGCAGCAAACACCGTCAAAATTGAAGTTTTTATATTAGTCTTCTTTCCGTCAACGAGAAATCCTTTGCTGACGTCATAGTCAGCATTCGGCCAATCGTAGCATGCCGATCGCAACGGCGCTATACCTATCGATCACGTCACCAATACCCTTCTCCATAAAAGCGTACGAGGGTGCGTTCATTACTGTGTTTGTGTGTTATGCACGCGCACTTTCTGGCTTTGGGGGGGGGGGGGGGGGGGGGGGAGATCGAACAGACACGCCACTAGCGGCATGCTGCAGCTGTGTGGACAACAAACCTAATTTTATCGTTTGTTGTTGATCAGAGAAATTGAAGATGACGATCCGAAGGCCGTTCCTCGTGCGTCCAAAGCGCTGGTCAAAGCGAAGCGCTCGTGCCCAGACCATGCTAGTCGAAGTTCAATGTCTTTGTTTTGCTCTGTTAGTAAACACCGCACTGTGTGGACAACAAGCTCGATAAAGCGCCCCCTATAGTTCAATTTCCTGCCCAATTGGAGCGCTGGCTGGACTGCGATTTAGCATGTGTGGAGCGTGATTTTTCTAAACAAAGGAAATGTGCATACTCCATCTTATGAGTAGCGTGCAGCAGAGGCCGAAGCAAAGGCACGAGCGCGTGGCTTTCATATTTGCTTTCCTTTCACGAGCGCTCGCGAAAGGAAAGCGAACCTGAAAGTCATGTGCACTCGTCTATGCTTTTGCCTTTGCTGCACACAACTCCCGAGAGAGTATTGGGAAGGAGATCCACCCGTTGCGCCCCTAGTAACTAAAGTGAAAACTACACCGATCGGGACAACAACAACACCGATTAATTGTCGAATGTTGCCGAACCTAGCCGAACGTTGCGTCAATGTTCGACTGGGGCTCGCGGTCAATCAATAAAACAAAATTTAAACGCAAAAAAAGAAAACTGTTTAATTTTTGCTCTACGGTTAATTGAGAACGATGAAGTAAAAAATCCAGTGCACCTGCCTTGTGCTGGTAAACACCGAACTCAGAGGACAACAAGCTGGACGTAGCGCCGTCTATAGTTCGTTCTTCTCGCCAGTAAGTTAGGTTATGGTCGTCTCAGTACTTATGAATGTCCTTTGCTTACTGGGGAAGAGTGGGGCTCGGGGGCTGGGAACATGCCAAGCTTCCCCCCTTCACCCTTTCCCTTAAAAGAGCTCCTGGAAAAGTTACTTCCGCAAGCTCCCTCGTTTCTGGGACCTCGGAGTGCAGTGCACAGCGATTGACTGTCTTGTGTGCTTTGCGAAGACTTAGACACTCCAGGATTCTTAGAATGTACATTGCGACAACAATACAAACCTTAATACCATTCACAATATAAAAAAAGTCGTGTTTTCGTGCATCTTTTGTTTCTCTGTTTTTTGTACAGCCCACTCTGCCACGGTGCACGATGCAAACAACTTCGTGGACACCGTCCTGACCGAGAAGTTGCCGCCGCTCGTCAGGTCGTCCCTCAACCTCTTCCCAGTCGTCCGAATCCCGTTTTTTAATTTCGACGTAAGAGAACCATTATTCTGGAATTGCACTTTAAAAAACTTATATACCCGTGTGTTTATCTTTCTCACAGGCCACTGGGAGAGCAAATCGCCGTTCTCTATTTTTTTATTTTTTTTTATTCAGATACCTACAGCGCCATGGGGCATTACAGTAAAGGGGGGGGGGGGGGGGGGAAGCTGGAAATGAAGAACACGAATAGTTATACAAAAGTTAAAAGAGCAATATCCACAAGCCATAAATCTTTCAGTATCACAACAAAGTGCAGGCTACATAAAAAATAAAAATGCGGTCTACTAAATACTACGAACGTTACTCAACTACTAACTAGACACTACGAGGTTAGTGTTGAATAAAACATATCGTTAGGAACAATGTTGACCACCGAGGCTGGCAAACCGTTCCAATCCCGTATTGTTTTAGGAAAAAAAGAGTTCATATAGACGTCACCTTTACAGCGGAATTCCTTGACCTTATACACATGATCCTTTCGTTGCGATATGTAATCTGGCGGGTGAAGGTAGGCATTTCTATCTATCCCAGTCCTACAGTGAAATATGTTATTAAAAAATTTCAGTCGAAGGTTCTTCCTTCTAAAGCTTAACTCCTTCCATCCTAGGCTCTGTCTAGCACGAGTCATACTAAGTCGCCTGTCGTAATTGTTTAAAACAAAACGGGCAGCCCTGTTTTGTATTTTTTCAAGTTCGATTATCTGGACAGCAGTGTGAGGATCCCATATAGTGCAGGCATATTCTAAAATTGAGCGGACATGCGAAAAATAAAGTCTTTCTTTCAAGGAACGTGGTACAGGCTTAAAATTACGAGCGAGAAAGCCAAGCATTCTCGAGGCTTTAGAGATAGTCAATGTGCTTATTCCAACTTAGGGTCGAGGTTAGGAATACACCAAGATATTTGTATTCGTAGGCAACAGTGAGTGGCTCGTCATTATTGGTATAAGTACTGAGGGACGGAACACGCCGTCTCGTAAATGGGATGTGGACAGTTTTTTTAAAATTAATATTCATTTCCCACAGTTTGCACCAATCGGTAATTGCATTTATTGATGAATGTTGGTCGGTGAACGATGATACCGAAGAGGGATGGGCAAAATACATGCAAATATGCATCGAAATACAAATACAAAATACTTCGTCAAAAATGTATTTAATTACAAATCTAATTACATTTCTAAAAAAGCATTTAAGTAAAAAATAAGAATACAACCAAATGTATTTGGTCTCCCTCCAAATACTTTTCCAAATACATTCCTCGAAATTTGCGTCAGCGACTTCAGGGCACCTCGAACGGGTTTCTGAATATTTTATTTTAATTTTGCATCGCACACTCGGGAGTTAGTGTGCGATAGTAACGTAATAGAAATATAATCAGAAAAAATGTAATCAGCTTGGAAGTAATAGGTGAAAAAAGTACAGAGCTTCAAGCAGTTTTTTTTTTTTCGATTACATTTTGGTATAGACCAGGGGTGGCCAGGCTGGCCTGGCCTAAGAGCCGCAAGGGGGGGGGGGGGGGGGGGGGGCAAACATCTTTCGTTCAGAGTCTGACTGTACGTATGGGGTCACAAGGCTGTACGACTGTACATATGGGAGTAAAAGGCTGTCAAACTGCGAGCTGCAGTGTGCTTTATTCTGAAATCCTTTTTTTTTTTCCAGGGGAAACGCGAAAGGGGCGAAGGGGAGGGGATGGGGAGGGAGGGTGTCCCCTTACGAGGAATCCGCAAGCCGCACTTGGACCAACAAAGAGCCCCATGCGGCTCGCGAGCCGCGGTTTGGCCACCCCTGGTATAGACCAACAAAGAACCGAGACGGCCAAGACACGCAGCAGTAGCTAGAGAATTTTGTTGTTGTTGGAACTCGCACCAGTTACGAAAATCTGGACGACCCGCACATTTAGATTGTTCCAGGCAGAAATATGGATGGAAATCAGGCTGGAAAGCATCACAGGCACTTATTTAGCCAGTCTACCTGTGAACGTCGATTTCGTCACTATTCTTGCCCTGGACTAGCACCGTAATCACAAAGTCACTAAACGCTTGTGCTTGATTGAGAGACACTGCATTCGGTGCAGAACGTAGTTTTCTTCCTGCTCTGGACAGTGAAAATAAATTTGAGGGATGTATTTTCGCCCAAAAAATTGTATTTAATTACAATTGTATTTGGAATACCCACATTTTAGTATTTAAATACACACTTCAAACAGATTACCGAATTTGTAATTACATACAAATACAAAATATACAAAGTATTTGAAATACGTATTTCAAATACTTGTATTTGAAATGCTGCCCACCCCTGATACCAAACAATCGCCTTCACTAAGACCCCCGACAACAAAATAGATCGCAAACCTTTTTTTTTTTTTTTTACCATTTTGACATGGAATCTCTCCCTCCATTGACACGCATGTAGCTTGTGTATGAAAGGTTGGATTGTTCTGACGCGGTCTTTTTTGCTGGTAATGTTGAGAAGTTCAAGACGAGAATGCTGCCGATTATTACTTGCTAGTAATTTGTTTTTGTCTTTTGCCTCATGGGGGCGCACCCCTTTTAAAGCCTGTCAGCTTGGGGGGGGGGGGGGGGGGGGGGGAAGCACAAGAAGCATTTATTTATTTTTTTATTGATAAAGTATCAAACATGAAAACTGCAAAGTTTGACATATATATGTATATGTGTCCCAATGTACACCTCAGCGCATTTCAGTTGAAACACTAGTTATCAATCGTTGCTTGATCACCTGAACTAATGAACTAACCCCCGTCCAAAGGGATAGTTTCGGACATATTAAGGAACAGAGTGAGTGGTGCGTCCCGAATATTTTAATATCGATCTGGTGCAGAACAATTGCCAATCTGGAGTTTCTAAGGGACGTCAAGCTGGCTTAAAGCGCTATTCGTTGATAAGGAATGATCCGCCTACCCTGACATAGAATTTTGTGGTTCATGTCTGAATGCAGGTTGCCAAAAATGCTCCCACGAACCGCAACCTCCACGCTAACCTTACGGAGGGAGCGATTCGAAACCTCGACATCGGCGTGAGGCGAATGGGAGAATGTCAAGTTCCAGCTGTCAAGGAGGGCATCCCAACGATAGCTTGCACCCTGGACCTCAATGGCATCAACACCACATTCACTGCATACGTAAGTATAGCTGAGCTGATTCACACTTTCTGCCGTGCCTAATTTTCGAAGTCAGACCTCAGCGACTTAATCGCATGGATATCTCTGAAGGCGATTCTCCGAAGAATCTCCGAAGAAAGACGTCTCATATTACATTAAATTTTAAGACGTCTCGTGAGACCTGTTCAAGATATCTAGGTGGATATTTTTAAAATACATAGGGGAGTCGTCTTCTAGATGCCTAAATATCTGGGTGAAATATCTTCTTGACATCTAGTCATCTATTCGTCTATAGCATTGCTCATAAAGTCCAATTCTACGGCTCGAGTCAAGAGGATCGTTGGCGTTTTGAAGGGACCACACAAATTGGTGTATTAGCGTAACAAGCCAGGAGCTCGTACATATGTGGCTGAAAGGGGTACAGTTTGTCTATCAAAATTTCAAAGAACAAGCTTACAAGAGCAAAAAATTAACGGTGGCCTGTCTGCTCAAAAAAGATGTCTGAGTGGCGCAACACCCGGCAGATGAAAGCATATCAGAGCGAAGACGTGAACACTGGTCTCAGATAAGCAGATGATTATTTTGATCCCGATTTGGCACCGGCTTTTTCGGTGTAGTGCATGATTTTGCTATTTTATTTTCTAGTAAAACACACTGGATGTGCAAAAGACCAGCATGAAATATTATTCGTTAGGCTATTTCAGTTTAACGTCAAGAACTGGCCCCATCTGTCGGCGGTTTCGCACTTTACTTCTTACTAAATTACCTGTATGTGATCTGCTTGTGGCGAAGAGTATCGCAACCGTCTTAAAGTATTGACTCTCAGCACTGGGGGAGAAGCAGCCTTCTTCAGGAGACGGCGGCCGTAGGTAGCGAATTCACGTTCTTGAACAAATTTTGCCTTTTTGTTTTCCGCAGACAAGAGGAGACAATCTGCTCTCATCCCTGAAGGAAATCTGGGTCAACGTTCTCACTGTTGATTCCGTCGCTCGGTTTGAGGCGACAGGCAATCAGCGACGAGAGAGCCTGCTACGAACCTTCGAGGTGCCCCATCTTCACTTCACCACCCTCTACAACAGCGACCTTCACCTCAACACCGACCGCCAGAGGCAATTCAAGGCTCACATCGAGGCGAAAGTCAAGCAGACGCTTCAAGAAGCCCTCTACGCCGACTACAAGCTTCAACTGACCAGAGCCGTTGCCGCAACGCCTTTCCCTAATGTATAAGCCGACTCCATTGCTGTTCCCTAAATGAGTGAAGTAATAGGTCACTCGAACAGCATGCGCAGGCCCTGCTTTAGGTACCTGGAACGCGTCTCCGATTGATGTGTTTACAACGTATTATAAAGCGCTCCCACGATGTCCGCCTGATGACGTCGTAGAAGTGTCATGCCGTCACCGGCCGCGATCCTGGTGGCGTCGCGGCAGAAGTGGTGGACGTGGCAGATGACTCTTCTGCTGCAAGTCGCTCTCCAGTTGGAAGGTCCACGGACTTAAAGACCGACGACCAGTTCGCGCTTTCCACATTTCTCCCGCTTCGTCCTCTGCCCCATTGCACCCTGTCCACCGTTGACTGTTTTTTTCCCTCCCCCATGGGGAGGGGGATCTTCTACCTTGCAGAATATCGAGTCTTGTTGTCGGCCTTTAAGCTTCCGCAGCAGGGAGTCGGGACGCCGCGACGACAGCGACACTCGTGTTCGCTCGTACTTTCTGCCGGGACGTCTAGCAGCCGCAACCGCCAGGATCGCGACAACCGACCGCATGACACGGCTATTTTTGTAACGTCATTTGTTGCCACTTCAAAACCAGCTTTGATATATGGGCAGAACGTTCTCTAAACACACCATTCGAGGACGTGTCTCAGACACCGTAGGCCTGACCAAGGCACCAAATATAAGCGCCACCTCTGTGCGGGGTGTGAAAACTGTCATGTGCCTGGTCCTCTTTGCGTGATCGTTGAACACGATCTCAGCGTGTGAATTGGTTTCTCTCAGCCTCTCCTGTCAGCGGATGGCTAATGTTTTAGTAGATTAGAAGAAAGAGTTAACGTAAAGAAAGAAAAAAAAAAAAAAAAAAAAACAACGAATAAACGTGTATCAAGTATGAAGTCAAAATGATGCCGTCGACATAGATGATGATCCCCTAGCCGGCCCATGCGGTCCCTCTCGTTTTTGCAAACGATTCACTGCGTATGGTGCGGCACATAAGTTCTAACCGATGTGATGAAACAAAGTGATACATGATGGGGAAAACAGATCAGAAAACGCAGACTGCGAAGAACAAACACGACAGGACAATGCTGTACTTACCTTGAAACAAGGTGAGTTTAGCAAAGAGGAGGCCAATCCGTGGGACGGCCTTATTGAAAATAGACAGCACATTTTACAGGACTAGAAGGAAAGGCCGCGATAAATTATTAAATGATCCGCTGCCTAACTGAAAAAAACAAACAAAGAAAAAAAACACAGAAATAAAGACTCTCAACGCACGTCAGACTAACCTATAAGTATAACTTTCAAAAACACCCCAACATCCACAACACTTAATATAATCCAGAAAAACGAAACATTTGAATAGTACTACTTCCCCAACCGTGTTGTGGTCGTGTGTTATGTTCGTCGTGAATCCCTCTGAGAGCTCGGCGGATGCTTTTTGAGTAAACGAAGAGTTGTAAATAAACATGGTGTTTTGATTATTCCCTACCGCGAGTTCTTCGGGTCAACGACGACTAACAACACTTTTCTCAAGAAGTTCAAATATAAAGGACTGTGCAGGAACGGTGATTTATATGGCAAGTGACAACTCATTTTAGTGCCAAGCTCCTGATGAACTGGACCTCGCGAGAATCATTGAAAGTGGTGATTCATGTCTCGGTTTGAATAGGCTAAATGGACAACATGCGGGAATCGAATCGAAACTCCAGAAAATGTCCTTATTGGGATAAAGTGGAAGGGGCAACCTAATTGCATGCGAGTGCAGGGACTGACTTTTTCAGTGCCATAGGAATCCTGCGTGGAGGATGGTGTAAAGGATTTTCATAAGGTAAGAACATGTTAGTGGAGAGGTGGCTGAAACCAATGGAAGCGCAGAAAATAGCTCTTGTTAAATTCAGGCCAGATGGCGCAAGTCATCGTCTGATTCAAAGCCTAAAGGAAAGAATGCGTCCATTTTATGTCGCCGTAATCGCTTAGAAAGGAGAGCCCTGTGGCCTTTCTCACTCAGCTAGTGGTGTCGGGTGATAAATGACCCAACCAGCTAACAGCTCCCTCAGCGTCCTTCAAGGCTCATGTGACTCTCTATGTTGTGGCAGTCTTAACTTTGCCACTGTCGCCGGGCGTGTACTCCTTATGGAACAGCGCCAAGTGAGACCGCCTCGAGCTTGTTGGAACTCGAGAGATGCTTCGCTCTTTAAACGCCCATCTATACATAATGGTCTGCCGCCAGGCGGAATACGTTATCCCAGACTCCTTCGCTCCATTCATTCTCTGGCTCTTCTCTCCTCCTCTCCTAAAAAAAAAGAAGAAAGAAAGTGTCTGAGAGACTCCTTGCAAAAAGGAAGACACTGTAATTAAGATGGAAGCTTGGGCGAGTTTGTAATTCATGTTTGTTCTGTGTGTCTCTTCCCTTGTCCATATCTGTTTCTTAGCCCTGTTACTGCCATTAAAAAGCTTTCCGGCTCTCTCCAATCGAAAAGAGGAATAGAGGGGATGATTTTTTTTTCTTTTCCTAACCGGCAGAAAGCTTGCCTTGACTTTCTGGCATATTGGTCTAGGGCAGCGGTGTAGGTTCCTTTGCCGTAGACGGTGACCGAGCGGCCTGACCGTGAACAGTTGTCCCAGGTACCGTACCTCTACCTCGACCGCGCCTGTTGGCCGAGTGGTTCGTGCGATTGTAGATCCACCAAGGAGTAATGGGCTTGAAAATCACCTCCCGGATAAGAAAGCCAAAGTGCTGAATTTTCTTGCGTCACTAGAAGATGCCACCGCATGAGCCAGATTGGGAACGGCTGCGGTGTTGTCGAACGGCTGGAGCTCGTGTTCTTAATAATTGAACACGAGTTCAGGCCGAACGCCGACGCAGCATTCCTGTCCAATGTGTGCTTTACGGTGGCTTCTTTTAGTGACGCAGGAAAATTCAGAGCTAAGAATTTCTTATCTAGGATGGCGTGTACCTGCATTTCCTGGGCCGGTTTGCTGATCAATTCGGGTATCTCTCCCGGCGGTTAACTCTCCCGGCTGTTAACACTCCCGCAAGAGAGATTTCAGCCGATTCCGCTCAGCCGAAGTAAGCCTTCCTTGTTTTCTTTAACTTTCGAAGATCGCGATCTTCGGGTGAAATAACTTTACATGTCGCTCCATAAGTACACAAATGCAATTCATTTCACTTACATTTCAAGCCTCTTCACCCTTTTTCTGCGCGCAAAATCGGACTTTAATGTTCGAAGCGCGGACGAATTTACGGCAGCCGTTTGGCTTGAACGGTAGGTACCTTTAGTTTCTTGTTCCCCTGGAGTCGGCCACGTGGCCTCAACATCCCTCTTGTGGGTGATTTAACTGCCGGGAGAAATACCCGCATTGAACAAACCGGTCCTGGAGTCTGTTTTTTTTTTTTTTTTTTCAAATTCAAATTTAAACTTTACATTGCCACAAACAGTAAAAATTTGTTTATTTTGCCACAAACAGTACATTTTTCCAGTACAAACAGTACTGGAAAAAAAAGCTGCAAGCCTGCAGCTTGACGAGTCCGAGCGCCCCAGTACAAGGTAAGAGCGACACATGCACACAAAGACAAAAAAGAACGAATATGCGCACACATACATGGGAATACACCTATACAAAGGATAAACACAAGAAAAACCTCAAAAATTCAACTTCGCAATCAACAGTATGCAAAAAAATGGTGCTTACTTATTATAAAGCTTCTTGAATGGAACGATGACTAACAGAGTGTATTTCAATATCACGGGAAAACAGAGTGTTTAATTTGTTAAGTTCGCATAAGCTAACTGTGTCTATCGAAACCATGGTTTGCACTATATTTAAATCCGTAAGTGAGTTGAGTGTTGTAGCCATAAAATGTGACGACAGAAATCATATTTTATCTTGTATCTAGCAAAACATTTATGAAACCTTTTTGCCAAACTTAAGTTCTAGTTTCTATCAGCTGATAATTTTGAGTTTTTAGAAAATCACAACGTGTAACTCCGTTAAGTGTTGTAACCCCAAACTATGCTTAAGATCGAAGCACTGAACCTCTGACTCCAGTGCAGCATCTTGGAGGTAACACGCAGTTGTTCGCATCTGTTTAAATTAAGGCTCTTTTCCGGTTTGCAGGTACTAAAACTGGCTCAGCTTATATTTATGTGCGTTTCAAAGTCAGATACAGCAGAAAGACAAGGTTGAAAAGTGCTGGAGCTTGGTGCACAGGGGTCGGGCATCCCCAGACAGTCGGATATTTAATCTTGCGCAAGGAAGGCATGTGCCAGTTCAGGAGCACAGGTTTGGCTATCAAGGAGAACCAGATACGTCTCAAGTCACAAGCAACGGTATTATTGTTCTGGATTTGACCGTGGATGAAGCGATCGTATGAAAGAAAGATGTTTTTGTAGCAAATGAACCTTTTCCTAGAAGCGTTCTGCGCACGCGCGAGCGCCCGATGCCAAGCGGCGGAAGTCGGCACGAAAAATCGAGGAAATTCGGAAGGAGGCTGTGGATCAGCGAGTCGAGCACAAAATTGCAGCATATGTATAATTGTGTTACACACAAAAAAGAAAGTGGACGGAAAGAAAAACACGACGTTTGGGTGGACGCCACGGATGCCCCTCTTTAAAGTCGCGTTGGGCACGCGCCGCAGCTCAGAAAGCGAACAAACTGGTAGCGTAGCTCCCGTTATTGATTGGAAACGCAGGCAGTAAACTTCCTGGATTTTTAGTTGGTGCAGCTCCCGCCTGGTGCCGTCGGTATGTGGAAATGGTTTAATGTGTGTACATTTCCATTAAAACCCATCGCCATTGCTTGCAACGTTAAAGACCCACAGGTCCGCTTCTTTAAAAATGAGTATAAGGTGTCCCCGAAATTTCTTTACATTTTTTTATTTAATTGCAAAAATAATTTTCGCAATGACAAGCATTTAGAATAAGTTCAAATGCAGCGCTAGCTGTACGAACCAAATTCCAAAGCTTCAGAAAGAACCGTTTTCTTACTCTAAAGTTTTAAGTGATTTTCTAAAAATTCAATGGAAAAATAGTGGCTGACGAAGACCCCGAATAAATACGGGTAAGTTGCGGAAACTACAGGGAAGGAACCTCATTTTCCCATCGAAAGTCTCCCCAAATGTAGAGCTTGCGGTTTGCTAGGGGTACATTTGGGCAGACCTATTTCTTCTTCCGCCGTGGGCGCCAATGTCAAACGATATCGAGTTTTAAAGGACGAAATGCGGGTAGTATAAAAGTATATTGCCGGTGCCTAGTTGCACCGGCAATGTAGGCCTATATTGGTGACATGATAAATCAATATAGCCCCACTGTGATGCCAATATTGATGTACTGCCCGAGTACAACCTTTGGGGGTGGAAAGAGAGAGTTTAAAGTGATCGCGAGCATCTACAGACTTGCACATTTCTTAGGGTATCTGGAGGCATCAGCCAGCAAAACAGAAGCCTCTCACGTGTCAACTTTTGAAAGAGCTTCGAGTACACACCAGTGTCATATTTCGGGTTGCGCCGCCTCCCCCCCCCCCCCCCCCCCCCCCCTCCCATTCCCTCTCCCCTCCTTCAGCCCTCTACCAAGAGAACGATAAGGTGTCGGTACAGAACCGGGTTGGACTCAGAGCCGCGAAGCTTAGAGGGTTATCTTCTCGATGGCCTTAGGTGGATAGAGAAGAGCGAGAGAAGGGTATTTAAAACTCGCCGTCGGCTAGGGTCCTATGTGTTCTTGGACTTCTATTTAGCCCCAGCACAAGTCAGGCTAACCCAAAGCTGTAAGAATTCCAAGCTTTTTTTTCTTCCCTTTCATAGTACCATAAGCCTAGTACGCACATTGTTTATTGCCTTGTTTTCTGTCCCAGATGTAATCGGAAAGATAACTTCTAGTTTAAATGGAGTTTTAAAAAAGAAATGTAAAAATACTTCTTATTTTATTATAACAAAACTTGTTCGTCACCCAGGTTTACCATCGCTAAATATTTACCAAGATTTGCGCAACAAATAAAAATCGTTTGTTTGTTGCGCAAAGGTATTAGAAAAACTGCTTGTTCACAAATACTTTTTTTTTTTTTTTTTTTTTTTTTGCTGCGAGTTGGTGAGGGCTGTAACCGTACAAAAGTTGCAATGTGCATTTGGAGTGTATACGTATAGTTGTTCGTTGTACGTTGCCTTACTAGGACAAGGTATTTCCTGCGACTAAACGCGCATGCAAATTACTGCAAAATATTTTCGCCTCAATCTTTTTGCGCTACACTTTGAATCATAATAACGGTTAAAAGGATTGCTTCTAAGGATTTAATCTCGACGCTTCTAAATAATCAAATTACCAGTCTCGAGAGACAGAAAGAGAGTAATTAGTTGCCCTTAGAATCTTCAGTTAATTGTGGAGCTGAAAATAATTCCGACACCCTTGGCGACAAAAACTTGAGAAAGTTTTCCTCTTGGCATGGATTTAACATCTAAGGACCCTCGCGTTTTCTATTTGAACTAGAATCAGCAGCGCGGAGTAGTACGTGCTCGTTTTACAGATGCCCCACAATATAGGTTAGTACTGACAGCTTCTAAAGAAATGCGGGTCTTGTCCAATCCCGAGCTTCTTATGATCGCTACGCAGCCAATGAGAGTGCGGCATTCGCCAGTACGAGCGCAGAAGGGCCAATCAAGGAGCAAAGAGCGGGAACGTAAGCCACGCCCTACGCTTATTAAACTCTCAGTGGCAGATATGATATTTAGGTGATTGTGGACACGAGAAGCGCCCGCAGAGTTTAAAGACACGTACCGCTAAATCGGAGTCTCTGACAGGATAAGAATTACACGGTGGTCTTCCAGTTGCCCCTCCTCCAGCGCGAGCTTCCTTTAGAGTCTAGACATTGCAACACTTATTACCTGGGCGAAAACTGCTGAGTCACTGAGCTTCGGGCGCATGCGCAGCGACTGATATACCGCACAGCAGAGCAACAGAGATGCTCAGAAGTCGTTTGGCAGCCCAGCAGACAAAGATGGCAGCGAGCAGAAGGCGATTTTTGCATGGGTCTATATAAGGGGTATTCACTGGGCGCCATATTTGTGGGTGCTGTCTAGAGCGCATGCTCAGAACGAGTCCACATTAATAGGTTCCTAAGACCGGCACTCTTGATGGTGTGGAATGCGCGTTGCAAAAGAACCGTGGAAGCTCGCCATGAGCACGCGCTCAGCAGTCGTGCAGACAACTATGGCCACCAGTGAATACTTCCTATACCTTCAATAACGCCTCGGTATCTCGTGAGATCCGAGTGTGCACGCGCATCCATACCCCATCTCACAAACGTCTGCAGTGCTTACAAAGGCACGTGCACGAGTGCGTGGCTTTGGAGCGTGCCTCATGTGCACGAGTTCTCGTACAAACAAAAGCATTCTGCGGAGATGGGCTCACGCGCTGGAGTAGAGACTTTGTCTCTACTCCAGGCATTTGTGAGATAAGCACAAACGAAAGCGACGAGCACATGCCGGAGGCATGGCACTCAAAACAAAAAAAAACAAAACAAAAAAACACGTATTGTTGTATGAGCAGGAGATTGAGCTATAGGGGGCGCTTTATCGAGCTTGTTGTTACTTGTTGTTCCTACAGCCCGATGTTTACCAACACAGCATAACAACGAAATTGAAGCTCGCCGAGCTCGGTCTTGCACGAACGCTTCACTCTTACCAGTGCTTTGGTCGCACGAGAAGCGGCCTTCGAATCGTCGTCTTCGATTTCTCTGATCATAAGCTAACTTGAACATTCTGTTTGTTGTTTGTTTTGCTTGGGGCGTGGCTGTTCGATTTCCTGCCCAATAGTAAGCACAATATCTGAAAATGAATAAACTTAAAATAACAATAAAAAAAAAACCTTTGTAAGGTGAATAGAATAATGTATACTATTATGCTTCGTCTCATCCTACGATGGACTAAAGGCCAAAGCCAGGGGCCACCAGGTCCAATCCCGTTCCACGCTAATTTATAACATGCCTAACATTGATTAGGGTTGAACGAATAATGCTCCGAATCAAAGAACGCTGCATCATTTCTATAGCTTCGACACATTAAGGAGCCTGTATATCGTGGCTTTTTTCGCATCGTAAAACTGATGAGTCACTCAGTGCTATTTGATTCGAACCACTGTCCGCCCATATCCATCAGTGATACGGGACGCGGGCAACGATATGTGCATCGAAGCGAAATACAGCGCGACTAAGTGACTCATGATTGGATCTGGTGGTACGTAGCTTATGCCTTTAGTCCATCGTAGGGTGAGACGAAGTATAGTATACATAATTTCATTCACGTTACAAAGTTAAAATTTTAATTTGAACTAAGAAAAAAAAAAGATTATTGTCGGTCCTATCAGAAACCACGCCACATATATCAACGAAGGGATCATCGCAATTTAAAATTAAAATCCCAACTTTGTAACGTGTATGGAATACGGTTCTTCAGTATATGGTGATGAGTCCTCGGTTGATACTAACTGGCGTGATATGTGATGGGGCTGGCGAGCTACTTTCTTTCTCCTTCTGCCCAAGTCTCGGGTTAAAGTCATCATAGTAGGCTTCCACCAGCTTGGCTGAGCACTGACTGCATTTTTGTTAAGCAATACGATCACTGACATCTTAGAAAACACAGTGCGGTGGCTCAGTATGATAACAGTTCTTGCTTCGTGGTACGTTCATCTGCCTTCTTTTCTACTAAGAACGCGAACTAATTGACTGCGGTGCGACAACATGCTCATTGCCCCGCGTCTTATCTGTGACTCTAGTGAAGATGTGACTTTTTGGGGAAAGCCCTCAAGTTTTAATTACAGTAGACAAAAATAATCGGCATCAGTGTTGCTGTACAAGCGTGGCTTATTCAAAACGCCTAAGAATAAAGAGGGATAGACGAAAAATATCGCAATTTTGGAAACTCGGCCAGCGTATCGGACACTTGCCGGGCTCGTGGCAAAGAACACGATGGCGTCACTCATCCTGAGATATCTGCGATGGTCACTGATTGAAATGGGAGCCCACTGCGCCGGAGACTTTAAAGCGCTAGACACCGCCATTAGAAAAAAGATGCAGTCGACACACTTTTTTATACACCCTTTCGACGACTTCTCAAAAAAGATAGCGCGCTTGGTCAAGGTTGAGATTCAAGAGATTTACGAAGACGGGACACACGAACCGGGTGTTGATCGGTGTCGGGTTATCTCTAGCACTAGACCAGTTAGCGTTTCTAAGTGTAGATGACGCATACTAAAAAAAAATATATATATATATTAAAACAGAAGCATTCAAAAGTATATTTGTTAAAAAAAATGGCGATGTAGAATTTCTTTGTAAACCTATAGATACAAACTTTGAGCAATTATAGACGGTCGAGAGGAAGATAAAGAAAACAGCAGGGATCTAGCTTAAAATAAACGTTATTGAAACTTTTGGAGAACGGAATATAGAAACAGAAAGATCGATGTATTCGTATATATACAGGGTGTTTTTTTAAAAGCTTAACAGATTTGTTTAAAAAAGGACGTGAAAGTTACACTTATGTGGTTTGTGCAGGTGAGTTATACGGCCATGGGGAGCAAATCGTAACGATCAGTTGCCTAATTAATTAAACTCCGTTAAGTAACTTTTTAAATAATGAACATAGACATATGGTTCTAATCAGAAACTTGCTGAGTGTCATCTAAAACCACTGAATTAGTAATTTTCAGAAAGACTTTGAACGCGTGAGAAGCGTAGTAGTCCACGAACGTTACCACTCGTGAAGCAGGTTCAAGGCTAGTGTTTGCGTAACGCGATAATAATCCAATCACCCGCGATCTGCAACCTCTAGCCTTGTACATGCTCCACGAGTGGTAACTTTACTGCATTACTACGCTTCTCACGCGCTCAAAGTATTTCTGAAAATTACTAATTTAGTGGGTTTCGATGACACTCAGCAAGTTTCTAATTAGAATCGTATGTCTATTTTCACAAATTAAAAAGTTAATTAACAAATTTTAATTAATTAGCCGACTTATTGCAAACATTAGCCACCCACATAATGTCCCCCTGGCCGTATAACTCACCTTCACAAGCAGCGTAAGTGTAACTTACACGGCAATTTTTAAACAAATTTGTTGAGCTTAAAAAAGAAAAAAAGAACACTGTTTGCTATAGAACCTTCGGTGAAACAACAACGGACGGGCTTATTTCGACGGTTCGGATATTAACTCTATCTGTTTAAAACCGTATACAACCATATAGAAAGGTTAGACAGTAATGTTATTTTTCCTGTTTGAATAATTTTCTGAATGCAAGTAACTGATCGCATTTCGGGACTATATCTGATCCTTTTCTTATTTGCGTAATTTACGGCAATGTTAGTGTAAGATATTTGCAATAAGCAATGTGTATGTGGAATGCTAGCTAGAAATACACGTTACTGCTATAGCCATTTATTAAGGAAATTAAATTTAGGTGATAACATTGATGTATAGCAGCCGTCGTTCACGACATAGATGTTCATACTGGTCTTCTTGTCCTCAGGTTACGGAGTCCAGAGATGTTGTGGTACGGAGTTTTCGCAATCGTTCTGGTGGCATATGGTGAGAAATTTTTTTTGAGCATCGCTTTTTATACTGTTAAGCTTATAATCCACATTATTTTTGTAATGTTGCACTTTAAGATAATTATGGTGGACATCTTAACAATTTATCCCAGAGGCCCCACTTTACAGGCAGTTAACAAGTTAATGATGCATGGTGGACCCTCTAGCCCAGTGAAATAGAAGTAGATTAGAGCTAGATATAAATATTTGTTTTACGATATACAGTTACCTGCTCCTTTAAAACTAATTTTAACACTCACCGTCAAGTATTACATTCACACCCATTTTGACAATGCGTACAATCAACATGCCCTTTAGTGTCACGCCTAGGTTATATCATGTTTATGTTTATGATCGAATACTACGGAACATAAATTTGAAGATGCACATGCATCAATCACAGCGGAGTATATACGCATGCACCTATAAAAGCTCAGACTTTAGCATAGTGTCTGTATAAACCGGTAAATATAATAAAGCCAGTTCTCTTGCTTTGTGTTTTCTAATTCAAGTGACTGTATTTAATAAAGGAAACGGTACAATCAGTCATAATGTTCGTGGCAGTACGCCTCTAACGATTTTTTTTTTCCTTTCTATTTTGTTTTCTTGTGCAGCCCATGCTGCTACGGTGCAAGAGGCAAACCACTTCATGGACACCGTCTTGAACGAGAGGCTACCACCACTTGTCAGAACGTCCCCCCTCCTCTTCCCAGTTGTCGGAATTCCATTTTTTCGGTTCGATGTAAGCAATAATTAATATTATATTAAAACTACAGCGTAAAATATTCAAGCGCGCTTATCTTCCACGCAGAAAGTTCTAAAAGCAAGTCACTATGCTCTGCGGACAAAGCTCCATGAACAATAAAAAAAGAAAAAAATGCACCACAAAAAAGAAACTGGTATTACAACAACCAAGTCACATACATGTTTACTTTCAAAAATTCATAGTACACTTCATTCAAATTGAGAGGATTCAATCGCCACTTGAATCGGCGATTGGGCAAGCATTATCAGTATCCTGAAGCTATGGTTTCGCCAATCACAAATTTCGACCGCAGCGACGCCTTTGATCGCGCACGTGGCCATAGAGAGCGGAAAGTTATACTTCCTTAAAGTGATGTGTTGTGTGTCCTCTTAACACAAACAATTATACAGTTGCCATACGTCTGCTGATGTGGAGTCCCCAACAGGCACGGAAAGGGGCTGAATTTCGAACCCTTGATGAAGAATGAGCGGTGCCCCGCAACTGACCAAGATTTTTTTCGTTGGATGCAGGTTCCCAAAAATGCTCCGACAAACCGGAATCTTCACGCTAACATTACGGAGGGGGCCATTCGAAACCTTGACGTTGGAGTAAAACGCATGGGAGAGTGTCTAGCGCCAGCTCTCAAGGATGGCGTCCCAACGGTATCATGCACCCTGGACCTCAATAACATCAACACCACATTCCTTGCATACGTAAGTAAATAAAGCGTTTTTAGGGCCTCGAGAGGTGCCCAATTGATGAAATAAGGATGCGGGCGGCTTACCGCATGGTCATCTACGTTGAACTTTAAGTATTTTATGTGAGATATCTTCCGGACATGTAGGTGAGACATCTTTTCAACACCTACTTGTGACATCTATAGGTGTAGTGTTTCCTAGCCATCAGGTTGAAATATCTTCTGGATACATCAAGTGTTTCTAGACATCTAGTCATCAAGTTGTCTTGCGTAGATCATCATCGGCTCAGCCACACACGCACAGAACGATATCGAATGATGCTATGGTGCGTTTATGTAGCTGCTGGGTCCTATGAGCTGTTAGAGTCGTCTAGTCTCTGATTATACGGCGGCGCGGAGCAGTGTATAGCATCGTCAACCCGGGATAATTTTGGAATAATCAAATTTAACGCAAGTGACACGTCATGACATTCAAAGTGACGTCTGACGATATGACAATCGGCCTTTCTGTGGTTACCGTCGTGAGCCTATATACTACGAGGCTATACAATATCAGACATATTGTAGTAATGTAGCAGCTCCTAGAACACAAAACTCTGTGTGCGTGCTGGATATTCTGCGCCATTTACCGGAGGAGGGCGTAGAGTACACTTCAGACGCGAATGCTGTGTGAGCGTTAGGCTTGTACTCGCCGATTGAACACGAGTTCCTGCCTAACCATGACACGGCACTCGTGTTTAATCTGTGCGTCGCGCTGGCCACCCTGGCAGGTAACATAAAACTCTCAGATGTACGACGGCCCTGTCACGCCACCTTATTTTCAGATTATGTGTTTTTCTTTTCTTTTTCAGACAAAAGGAGACAATATATTGTCAACGCTGAAAGAGATCTGGGTAAATGTTCTCACCGTTGATTCCGTCGCTCGGTTTGAGGCGACAGGCAATCAGCGACGAGAGAGCCTGCTACGAACCTTCGAGGTGCCCCATCTTCACTTCACCACCCTCTACAACAGCGAACTTCACCTGAACACCGATCGCCAGAGGCAGTTTAAGGACCACATTGAGGCTAAGGTCAAGCAGACACTTCAGGAGACGCTCTACGGCGACTATAGACTTCAACTGGCCAGAGCCGTCGCCGCGACGCCTTTTCCAAACGTATGACTGGACCCTATTGCTGCATACTAAATAAACAGAAAAATTAGTAACTCAAAACCAAGAGTGCATGCCCTGATTAAAATATTAAAAAGAAGAGCCACAGCTGTGCGAGATGGGGAAACCCTCATTTGGCTGATCTCTTTTGAATAGTTTGAACACCTTGCTGTGAGAATCTGTTTTCTTTTCAGTATTTGCAATAGTATAGACGGCTGAGGTTCACTGGGTTGGAAGGATGAATAAATGTAAAATGAAAGCTTAAATAAACCAGTATCTAATAAGAAATCTAAACAATGACGTGTATCGACCTCTTCAAGAATCACGAAGAGAAACAAGAAAATCCGGGATGTGACGCTTGTTGCGATGCTTAAATTATACTGACGTATTCTTTAGCGATACATATATGACATTGTTACCTTGCATGCGCGAACGCTGCATTTAAGGAGGTTCCAGTTTGGCCCACTACGGGTCGGTTTTATGAATTCCCACTTTTACGATGTCTCGGTAACTTTGCACGCCACCTTTGGATACCGGAGCATTTTCAAGAAACATCCTAAAACTCAGCAGGTTCTCTATGAGCCATATCCGGGAGCTCAAAGACAGCATGGATGCTTTCTTTGACACTGCACTGTGGGTTGGAGCTTCTTGACAGGGCCCTCACCATGTCAAAGATTATGGTCACCGATAGTTTAAGAAACGCTGTAATACGGTGCCCGGGGCACGCTGTGCCCTGCAGGCGACTCTAAAAACTATATTTATTTTCCTTGTTTTGGTCTGCCGACATGAAGGCACTGTTCTTAACTCGTTTCTTCTTCCTTCTACTTTCCTACTTTCCCAACTGGACAACGATAAGACCAGCGGTCTATATATTTTTTAGAATTCAATAGTTTTCACCTCCACCCAGCGCCAACACCAATGAGCTGGTTAATATGTCGAACCTTTAACCCAAATCGAGAAAACTTGGCTTGAAATTTAACTGTAATACTTAGTAGCAGAAAATTAGAAACAACGCCAAGAATTTGAGGTTTCTGTATGCACAGCGTAAGGTCGGTCTGCTTTCGAGGTGCGGGAATACTGCTTTTCGCTATAGATGAGAAATATAGCCAGCAGCACCGTTAGCCTGAGGTCTTTAGTGTGCATCACGCAGGTGTGATACACGACCGCACGCCGATACGATGGTCATCAAGATCGAAACGGGAAGGGCGGGGACTGAACCCAGGATTTCCCGGTACTGCAGTTCGAGCTTCTTCAATACAGAACCATTTACATTCGGGGACAGATTAAAAACGCAAAGGATGTTCCGCCTCTAGCGCTAGATTTCTGGCTTAGATAGCACTTTAGCGCTTGCTGCACACGCAAAGCCCGGTGGAAGACAGCGAATGTGTAATTGAGGCGGCTCGTCTACTGCATTCTTAACCTATCACAACATATTTTGGCACATGAAAAAGGCTCGACGAACGTAAACCGAAAACAAAGGATTAATCGGCGAACTTGTGCTAGAAACGAAATAAAGAATGAACTTCGAAACAACAGTAGTGAACGTCGCGGCGTCTGCGTGATAGCTGGCTGGAGCGAGACTGCGAAAGTGAGAAAAAGTCGGCAAGGCCCCATGCTCGGCTCCTATTTCCTACGTTCGGCATCTCGAATATTCGACCTATAATGTTCGGAAGTGATCTAGGGCGAGACTGGTCTCGGTAAGGACCGGAGTAGAGTTTCTTCTTCGTCCTGCACGCGGCATTGCTTTCCCCTTTAAAAGTGCATCGTCCTGATGCGACCTTAAATAAATTAACACAAAGGTAAACCTAATGACTCTTCACAGTAAACAGCGGAGTCATCTGAACTACGAAAACGTTTGAACGCGGCGGCAGTTTCATGTGGTCGGCAAGGACCCGCACAGCGGCTGACGTCGCTTCGGGACCATACGGCGTTTAAAGAGGTCTCCGGAGCGTTACCTTGTTTGCTTCCAAGTCGATAACGGCTCTGTGTTCAGACAGAGAGTTAATTCCGTAGATGACGTTCCTCGCACAGTCATTGAGGGCAGGACATTTCACCGGGCATGTCTCACCGTAGATCTCGACGCGAGCCGAGCACCTCCTATAGTTGGCGTGATAAGTTGTCCTCCGGCGATTCAACTTCGTGGACCATCCCACGGCGTTATCACTTTTCGAAGGCGGCTAGGGTACTTCCCACTCTGAACGGAATAGTCTTCTTTTACGTGTCGATGAGCGCCATCGCGTCATGTCGGTCGATGGCAACGTTAAAATTCTTTGATACCTTCGCGAGAGCATAGTTTTGATGCCACTCGTTGGTAACAGTGTTGTACACGTTCCTAAAAAAAGGAACGAAAGATCGTTCCTCGTTCCTTCTGATTTTTGGAACGCGTTCCCGTTACAAGTTCCAAACGTGAAAAAGGAACTCGTTCCCGTTACAGTTGAAAAACATGGAACGTATCACTACATATACGTTACATTTTTATTTTGCCGATTCCCATATCCAGTTATATTGAGAAAAGATTTTTTTTATTTATATCATTAAATGGCAACATACGAATTTGAATGCCGTGATGGAAGGGCACCAGGAGAAGAAAACAAGCGAAAAGAGAGTTTCACTTTTTGATATAAGTATTCACCTTCAAAAAATTAGCTTTTAACTATACTCAAGTTTGTGGTGGGCCATTCAGACGAGCCAAATGTGGTGTTACCCCACATCGCACGAGCGTTTTACAACAACCTCACACATTTCAATCTAGCAAAGTCCCTTGTTCGAACTCAACAACAGTTGCTTCTTGATGTTGCTATCCGCAAGACGAGCAAGTGAAGAAGAGGGTAGGGCTTTTGGAAGGTCAGTTTTGAAAACTACAAGTCCTTTTTTGTGAAGGTTGGATTCGTTGTTCAGTTTGAAGGCAGGGGACAAGGGGAGAATGAATAAAGGTTAATTTTTGTGTATCTTTTAAGTGACCAATGTTCGGGATACAAGGGCGTGTTAGATGTCTGGTAACCTGTTCTTTTGTTGTAGCTGTAGGCCTCCTTGTGGAGATTCAGTGATGGCTGTAGTCGGCCTAAGATTTCCGGGTGTATGAGGATTCGTGGAAGCAGAAAAAAGTAGCTAAGTTGGAAACGTCCCTCTTTCTGCGTCTTTTTCTTCGACTAAAAGTTTTGCTTTTTGTACCACAGTCTCGGCCGAGACTGTGGTACAAAAAGCAAAACTTTTAGTCGAAGAAAAAGACGCAGAAAGAGGGACGTTTCCAACTTAGCTACTTTTTTCTGCTTCCACGAATCCTCATACACCCGGAAATCTTAGGCCGACTACAGCCATCACTGAATCTCCACAAGGAGGCCTACAGCTACAACAAAAGAACAGGTTACCAGACATCTAACACGCCCTTGTATCCCGAACATTGGTCACTTAAAAGATACACCGGGTTCTGAAAAAAGAATCGATGTCCACTAGCTTTCCTGTACCCGACTGTTACCAAGCGGATACCACACAAAATAAACCTCAAGATAAGTTACCAAAAAGTTAACGAGATCCTACTCTTCGTAAAGATATTATTTTCATACTTTTAGAATTTCCCTCTAAGGAGAAAAATGAAAGTTACCTCACTGAAAGAAAAAAAGGAACGCTGTTCCTTTTTCCGTTCCAGTAAAAATTTAACGAGTTCCCGTTCCAGTTCTACCGATGCAAAATGGAACGGCAATGTTTCTTCGTTCCTCCCAAAAGGAACGCGTTCCAGGGACGCCGTCCCTTGGAAAGCCGTTCCGTACAACACTGACTTGTGGTTGGCCAAGGGAGCATGCCAGGCACGTAGCCAGGATTTTGGTTCGGGGGGTGGGGGGGGGGGGGGGGGGGCAGCCCATGACAAAATGCTGTATGAGGGGGAGTGGGGAGAGGCGGTCCCAGGAAATAAAAGAGGGGGGGGGGGGGGCGGGCCCCATGACTACGTGCTCGGAGCATGTCAAGCTCTCTTTCTGCATCTGGTGCACGCCCTTGTTCTGCCTGCGCCTCCCATTGACCAAAGTCTCTGTTACACGGCTCTGGGGCAGCAGAAAGTCGCTGCAGTCCGCACGCGCCGCCGCACGTGCGCGTGCACGCGGTTCACGCCCATGCGCCGGTGTCGACACCTATCGTGGTAATATATTCGTATGTCTAGAAGGTTGTATTGAAGTATAGAAATGTACTTTTCATTGTTATTTTTTTTGTTTCTCTAGATGAAGTATGAATATGTTCATTGTGTGAACGCAATCCACGGATCCCCCTGCAAAATGCATAATGATGCAGCAGGTATTTGTATAAACAAAAAATGAATAAATAAACAATATAAATAAATAAATAAATAAAAGAATAAATAAATTTCGTCATCTTCGTAGCTTTTCGGAACAATCCCGAAACCTATAACAGATGACGTATGGTCTGCCTGGACACGTCGAATGTTATTATACTTGAGGCGTCTTCCACAAGCTAAAAAGAAAAGATTCTGCCAGAAAGGTTGCATGCAAGTTAAAAGATTTACGCATGGCTGTTCAAGAAGTAAACGTTTCTCAATCCCCGGGCGTCACTGAAATTACAACACTTGGACAAAGCGCCGAAACTGCTAAGTATGTATACTTACCGACGCTTGCAAGCTTCAAGTTTGTGTCTGTACGCCTTCATTGATCTTACTGCTTTTATATTGAGGTCTCGTTTAGAAATTAAGGCGGGGCAACTTTTTGAGGTTTTGTTATTCATGGCGGGTTAATTTTACTTGCACACCTCTACTAATATCGCAGTGTCGCCAATGCTGTTTCTTCAAATTTGAGCAGCAATTAGAACCGTAATGTCAAAATTGCGAGTCAAAACGTGCGCGCTGATAATTTGTTTCATTCATTTCATGCAAGATTTACAACATGTACATACAATATTGAAAATTACAGCAAAACATTTTGTGCAAAGAAAGTTACGAAACAAGTCAAGTAAACATGTTTTAGGCATTCAAACAATATTTACCAACGAACTTCTTGATACGAAACATTGTTTTTTTCCTTTTTTTTATTTAAAAATTCACAAGGCTGTGTGATGCGTTTAAATGGTTCTATTCATTTTGAAACAAAAAAAAAAAAAAAGAAAAGAAAAGTATATGGTTCATACAGTTGC